TCTGATTTTTTTCTTATTTTTTCTTATTTTTTTCTTATTTTTTCTGATTTTTTCTTATTTTTTCTGATTTTTTCCTGATTTTTTTCTGATTTTTTCTGATTTTTCCATCTTTTTTTCCCATTTTTCCATTTTTTTCTCCAGTTTCCCTCCTTTTTTCTCCTTTTTATCCCATTTTTCCATCATTTTTCTCTTCTTTTTCCCATTTTTCCACATTTTTTTCTGATTTTTTTTCCTGATTTTTTCCTGATTCTTTCCTGATTTTTTCCTGATTTTTTTCTGATTTTTTTCCTGATTTTTTCCTGGTTTTTTTCTGATTTTTTTCTGATTTTTCCATCTTTTTTTCCCGTTTTTCCATCTTTTTTCTCATTTTTTTTCCCATTTTTTAAAATTTTTCTCTTTTTTATTCCATTTTCCCCAATTTCCCCCCCAAAATTCCCAATTTTCCCTCATTTTCTTTCAGTTTCCCCCCAAATTCCCAATTTTCCTCCCCAAAATTCCCACTTTTTAATTTCCCCCCAAAATTCCCAAATTTCCCCCAAAATTCCCAATTTTCCCTCATTTTCTTTCAGTTTCCCCCCAAATTCCCAATTTTCCTCCCCAAAATTCCCACTTTTTAATTTCCCCCCAAAATTCCCAGTTTTCCCCCAATTTCTCCCCAAAATTCCCAAATTTCCCCCAAAATTCCCAATTTTTCCTCATTTCTTCCCCAAAATTCCCAATTTTCTGACAAAATTCCCAAATTTCCCCGCAAAATTCCCAATTTTTCTTTATTTCCCCCAAAATTCCCATTTTTTCTCATTTACCCCCAAAATTCCCAATTTCCCCCATTTCCCCCCCCAGAATTCCCAATTTTTTCCTCATGCTCCCCCCAAAATTCCCACTTTTTAATTTCCCCCCAAAATTCCCAATTTTCCCCCCAAAATTCCCAATTTCTCCTCATTTTCCCCAATTTTCCACCCAAAATTCCCAATTTTCCCCCAGAATTCCCAGATTTTTCCGCCCAAATTCCCATTTTTTGCCTCCTTTTCCCCCCAAAATTCCCAATTTTTCCTCATTTTCTTCCATTTTTTCCCCAAAATTCCCAATTTTCCCCCCAAAATTCCCAATTTTTTGGCAAAATTCCTTTTTTTCCTCATTTTCCCCCCCAAAATTCCCAAATTTCCCCCCAGAATTCCCAA